CCAAATGTAATAGCCTCACCCCCTCTGGCTTGCAGTAAAATTCCCATTTAAACTTAAGAATGCTCTAATCAGCAAGTTTGGATGAACAAAATCATGTAGGTCAGCAAGGCCTTTTCGATAAGGAATGGAGCCTGAGACCTTGAGGGAGTGACAGGAAGCCTCCCAGGCCTGTGAACCATGCCTCCTCTGTCCCATTGCTGACCCCCTCTGTGCACTGCAACAACCTGCTAACATCCCTCAACTTCCCACAGAGGTTAGGGTATTCAACTCGCTTATCTCCAAATCTCCGAAGCAGTTTGGGGAGGTTTCACCCCAGCTTCTTCTTCTGCTTGCAGAAATAAGAATTTCTCAAATAAACCTGGTCTCTGTATTTGGCTAAAATGGTGCGGGGCATCCCAGACCTTACCAGCCAGCAGCAGGTATGGAAAGGTTTCCCAGTGACATTCTCATAGGACAGGTGTGGTTAACCACAAAGAATGAAAGGCTGCACTGTCATGATGGGAAAAGTATTTTGACACATTGTCCCCAGCCTTCTCCTCACCAACGCAGTTTTCAACTTTCTTCAAACTCCAATTCCCCAAATCAGTCACCACAACTGTCTGAGCTGAACTGAACTGTCTGTGCTGAGTTTAACTGGCCCAGTAGATGTTCTTGGAAGCCACTGTGTGACTGGACCTTCTTTTGAAGCACCCTAGCGATACTAGCAAGACTAACAAATGCTACTGAGAGACCCTGTCTGTAGCCATCTACTGAGCAGTCAGGTTTACACAGGCTTCGGTTGGCATAAGCTGTACTGGATGTCCTCGCAGCAGTACTTTTTGGACTTACTCTTTCTTGTCTTATTTTTGGAGCGGCAAGACATTTGTAAATCATACCTCTAAATGGAAAATCTAATGATTTAAGAAGAAAATAAGATATAGTCAAATGATATCTGCTGAAAACCATACAAAAGACAGTGGGGTTATAGCAAATGCATTGCTGGATAAAGGTGACCAGCAAGAGGGGACGTGTTACAGTTTTGTGGCCACCAGCATATTAAAGAGGCTTCTGGGTGCTATACATGGTTACGTGCTCAGCTACTAATAAAAAAGGTTGGTAGTTCAAAGTCACGCAAAGGCACCTTAGAAGACAGGCCTGCCAACGCTGCTGAAGATCCCAGCGACTACAAGCCACATGACACAGTTCTACTCTGCAATACACAGGCTCACTACAAGCTGGAATTCACTTAAAAGGAACTTTTTTTTTAAAAGCACATTTAAAATCCAATGTCACTGAATTCGCACGACTTATTTCTGTTATAATAAACTGCTTTTCCTGTGTTTTCATTTTAAAGCTGTTCATCTCATTCCCTAAGTAAGAGTATAAACTTCTGAAATAATGAGATCACGTCATCTACTTATTTTCCTGTTATCCTTCAAGAGTCCTGGCTCAGGTGAGCCCTTGAGAAATTGATTCTCTGGTAGAAAGCCAACTATGGTACAACTCCTACCCTCAGTGAGGTTCCTAGGATGACTTGTCCCTGAAATCAAGCCCAACTTCTTTTTCCTTCAGGCAATTAAGGGACCCTTAACCAACAAAGAAGGAGCCCCGGGGTGTCCTGGATTTTGCATTGGGCTGCTAACCCCCAGGAGAGCAGCTGAAACCCACCATCTGCTTTCCAAGAGAAAGAGGAGGCTGTCTGCTCCTGTAAAGGGTTACAGTCTTGGCAGGAGGGAGCACTAGAAAGGATTGTGATAGCACAATTCATTGTAAAGGCTATTTAACCATGGGCAGGAGGTGTTCTAAAAGTGATGTAATAATTGTACAAATTTTCCTTGATATGATGCAACGGTTGAGCTATTGATATGCATGATATGTAAATTATGTGCCAGTAAATCTGTTTAAAAAAAGATTTACCGTCTTGAAAACCCATTAGAGCAGTTCTACTCTTTCCTATAGGGCTGTTATGTGTCAGAATTGATTCAATGGCCGTGGGCTTACCAGCTATATAGGACACAAGCGTTCTCTGCCTTTTCCTAGTTTGAAGATGTGACTGAAACTCATGCTGGTGGGTTGGAAAGATAAATGTAATCACCTGGTCCTTGGGGAAAAACACAAGAGAAGTCACAAGATGCACCTCTAATCCTTGAGCTTCACCTGACCACTCGTGATTATGGGCAGGTCACTTTGAGCCTCAGGGTCATTCACACAGGCCCTGCCTGACTCAGGGGAGCGTCGTGGGCATCAGAGAGCACGGCTGCATAGCTGGTGTGTCTCTGCTGCGTATCTCTACTTGGCACTTCTGCCGGGATCTCAACACGAGATACCCCAAAGTGAAACCTGACCTCTTGTCCTTGAAGTGATTCCTTCCTCTGCTTCTGCAGAAGAGCCAGAAAGTCAGCCCTGGAGCCAGACTTCACACTTCTAGATTCTACTAGAATCTACTAGACATCATGGCACTGGCGCTCACCAGCTGGCTGACCTCGGTTTCCTTCCTCAATCTCTCTGTGCTGCCTTCCCATCAGCAGGTAATGGGGAGAACAGTCGTAGTGTTTCATCAGGTTACCGAGAGAATCGAAGGAATGTATGCTTATAAAATAACCAGTCTCAGACACATAGCAAGTATTACTACCTGCTCCGCCTTCCCTGCCATCTCCATTCTGCCAGTGTCTGCTCTCCAAACCTCCCTACTCTTGTCTATTAAAGGACTAAGTCATTTCAAGTCAATTTGCTATCTTCCTCCCTTATGGCCCCTTTGATAACTCACCCCTTTGTAACCTCTTATCTAGAGCAAGGGGCACAGCCACAGGTCCATGGGGACACAAGAAAGTTCAAGTGAGAAGAGCCCCAGGAGCTACAGTGGGCATTACAAAAGTCTCCCAATTCTAACAGCACAAGGTTGTTCATGCTAAACTGACTTCCATATTCTTGTGCTTTGGAACTGCATTTATACCAAGTCAGGGGACAAACATTGATAATCTTAGGATGGGCAGAAGCTGGGATTGGCAGTGTGACATATTCTTGATGGAAAGAAATTCTCCCCTCCTTCAATCAACACAGGCTTCTAGGTTAATGAAACACAGACGTTTCCAATCTAATCTTCGCGCTGCTTAAAAACACCCACAGCCCTGGTGGTATAGGGGGTGAAGTGTAGGGCTACTAATCCCAAAGTTGATCCATAGGAGAAAGAGAGAGGAGATCATCTCCTCCCATCAAAATTTAGTCTTAGAAACCCAAAGGGGCCATTCTGCTCTATCCTACAAGGCCATTGTGAATCCGGATCACTGGATGGCAGTGGGTTTGTATATTGTTGTGCGATGTCACCCAGTAGATTGTGACTCAGAGCGACCGATGGAGTAGAACTGCCCAATAGGGTTTCCTGGGCTATAATCTTTAGAAAGAGTCTTGGTGGTATCGTGGTTCAGTGCGTTGCCAACCATAAGGTCAGTGGTTCAAACCCACCGGATGCTCCCAGAAGATGTGGCCATCCGCTTCTCTGAAGATTTAGGGCCCCTTGAAAACTCTTTGAAAAGTTCTGCCCTGTCTTATAAAGGCTGCTGGAATCTACTAGATAGCAACAGATTGGGGTTTGTGGTTTAGTCCTTATGGGAACAGATGGCTGGGTCTTTCTCTGGAGAGGATTACTAAGGGGTTTGAAGCACCAACCTTTCAGTTAGCCAAGCGTTTTCACCGCTGTACCACTGGGCCAGGGCTTCTTCCTTCATTCTAGCCAACATTTAAACCCCAACTCCGAGAGCCAGGCAACATTCCCTGATGCTCCAAGCTGAAAATGATGTCTTTAACCTTTCACAATCTCCCCCAAACACTGGACAATTATTATGTCTTAAAAGCTAACATCAGAGCTATTACCAGGTAGCTTTAACTTTCCTTCAAAACCAGAAAGTTTTTCTGATGTTCTGAACAGTAGAGCTCCAATCGGAAGCTGTGGATCAGAGGATGGCAGCGATTTTTTTAACAGAGAATGAGATATATTTGGTAAGTTTGATTTTGAAATTTGGGACGGTTAATCTTTGAAATTTTCCATAGTTTGTACCATGGTTAAAATGTTTTCCACCCTAAGATTTCATGTGCACTTAGAATATTACTACTCAAACAGCAAGAAAGGGTATTATTGCTTGCTCTACTAATGCCTCTCCTAGACAAGATCTTTAGCACAAATAATTCAAAACGCCGGGGTTAAATTAACTTTAAAAGAGCAACATTTCAAGAAAAGCAGAAATACCGGAGTGAGAAATACATACTCGGGGAAGAAGCAAATGAAAACAAAACAAATACACAACAAAAAAGCAGAAACACTACTGATTTCCCCACCGCCATCGCTACTCTGCGCCAATTGCTGATTCTGAACCTTTGGAGAAGAAACCGGGAGACTGGCCGGGCGCTCTGGAAAGAACGCGGGCAGCGGGTCCCAGTGCCCGTCTCAGGGCACTGCCCAGGCCGGGAGGGTGTCGCACCCACAACCCTCTCTAGTTCACTTGCCAGCTTTATCTGCCGTCCTCGGTTCCTCCGCGTCCGTCACCGCCTCGCCCACCCGCGGCTCGCGTCCATTAGCCCGAACCCACTCACCAGACCCACTAAAAATCCTCCTCCGTTGCCGTGGCAGCCGCCACCGCCGCGCGCTCCGCTCAGACCTACAGCTCCGCGCCGCGCCGCCCGCAGCCCCGCAGCCTCTTTAGCGTCGCCGCTGCCCGGCCCAGGACCACGTGCCGTCACGCCCGGGGCATTCTGGGGATTGTAGTTCGCGCTCTTCCGGCCCAGCACGGAGTGCGGAGTCCCTGGCTGGGCAGGCTCCACCACTTGATGGATATATGGAGTGTGCTCTCTTGGGCTTTACCCAACCACGTGGGCTGAAGCCAGATGCACTCAGGGGAGTCTCGGGTGCTGCGGACAAGACCGATGCCCATCAGGGGTGTGGGTTTTCTTCAGGGTGAGCTATTTTTATTCCCATCCTACGTGTGCATTGGTAAAGGAGATCGAAGCGCATAAGAATTTTAATACAGGACACCGCCCCCCCACCTCCACCCCGCCCCCGATGTAGTCTGGAGATCAATGGGAAGAATTTTGGAAAAGTCTTCCAAAATATCTCTACTTGCAGGAATATGAACTCTGGCCAACACGCATTTGGGTGCCTCAAACGTTAAGACTTGTTTCCGGGTATTCTTGACTGGCTCATTCCGAAAACAGCGCCGGTTTCTCCCCCTCCGCTCTAGTTTTTGACTTCCAGAACGTATGCCGTATATGCCACTTTCCACTCTGCTCGCCCCTAAAACAGTCCGGATAGTTTAATGTAGACTTTAAATGAAAATCTTTCAAGCAGGAAGGAACCATATTAAAAATGAAAAGAAAGGCATAGTGCATGAATATTACTCATATCATACCCAAAACCAGATTTCGGACACAAACTCTCAAGTCCTTCAACGCTCAAGAAGAGCCTTTTGTAAGCCTTCCGCTGAAGATTCCAGCGCTAGGCTGCTGTCACGTGTGCATCCCGCCGCCCTGGGTGTCTGGCTTCTGCTGATTGTACGTCTTGGTGAAACCTTTCACCTGGCTGTTCACGACCAAGTTTCTCTGGAAAGCCAGCGCAGCGGCCATGCAGACAATGGACTTTAACACTCACAGGACAGCCAACTCTGCTGAGAGATCACATTCTCTAATTCTGTGTGGTTGACTGCCTTCTTGTTATGAAGAAATTTTTTTTATTGCAAGAACAAACGAAGACCAGGCATGGGACTCAATTTCATTCACTGATGCTATGAAATGTGGGTTCTTTCTAAGTTGGCGGAGCTGTGGGCCATTGACAACTCCTTCCTTCAGTTTTTCCATGGTAAGTCCAGGTACCTTACACGCTGTGTGTTCAATGCACGAGCCATCTTCATTTAAAGCTTTTATCCATGGTTTCATCAGGCCTAGCTTTATATGTAGCAGTGGCGGGGTACAGCAAAACCGTGGCTTGGGAATGGTCAGGCAGCACTCTAGGAGAACTCAGAGGAACTAGCGAATCAGATCTGGGTCCCCGAATATCGGGTGGGCATAGCTTTTAGACTTTATCTGCAGGATCAAGGTTGCAGGTGGGGACTAGGTGGGGATTTCTAGGGCAGATAGGTCCTTAGTAAAAGAAGAAGGTGGGGTGGGGGCTGGGTGCCTTCCAGGCATGAGGCAGTACCTGGGGTGAGGCAGTGCATTGAGTTTCTTTTCCAAAGTTTAAAATTCCCTGTTAGGATTTTCCTTCCAGCAGTATCTCTTGCTACCCAAGGTTCATGGGTTCCACTTTGCCCTCCAGCCACCATAGATTCCCTCAGAGGCCAACCTGGCCTTGCTCACAACCCCAAAGGCAAAGCAAGGCTACTTTGATGACCAACACGGAAATCAGCCGTCTTCCAGTCTACACAAACCACCCGCCGATGTTCTGGGTTCATTCACCTGTCCCCAAACTAGAGAGATGGACTTGTATGCTTTCTTTTTTTAAAAATTTAAAAAAAAATCATTTTATTAGGGGCTCATACCTTGTACGCTTTCTTCACCCTTGGTGTGACTGACTGGAACAGAACCACATTTGTTGCCAAGAACGCATTTCACATTACCTTTTGAACGGTCCATTTGAAGAGGCCGCCCACTTGGCTTATGTTCTGCAAAAAAAACGTTTTTCTTCAGGTTTCCGCTGGCATTTGAAAGTACTAGGTTATTGTCTTCGGTAAAGGACGGCAGCAAATTCTCTCTCCTTCTTCAAAATGGAAATTTTGTTCCAAGCTTAAGGGCATTCTTTTCCTCTAGTCTAGAGACAAACACTTCAGAAGATTCCTTCGGAAGATTTAAATTGCTGATTAGATGACTCAATTCATTCTGGTCAGAAGGCTCACTATGTGAGATTGTTTGGAAATC